CGGGGGGTACAAATCAAATTTTTATCATGTGAATTGTAAGATACCCGGGTACCTTATACGGCGTTTTACGGTAATGGACCCGACCTTATGCATTTAGAGTTTGACTTAAAACTTACTTGAGCTATAAAGTTATTGTAAGTAATGATCGGGCCAGCTAGATACAATGGTGCATATAAAGCATAACTTAAATAATAAATAAAGTTATAGTCTTCACGAAAACATGGACCAATGATCCGATCCTTTTCAGTGAGAGGAGCAAGGTCCCTATCATTTCTCTGCAAATTTATAAAATAAAATTGTCAGCAATGATCAATGCGTTTGACATTTGACATTGAGATTGTCAATGTCCTTGCGTTTATAACAATGATAATCATTTACATGCGATTCTCCTAAGATTACCTCAGGGGAATTGTTAGATGGGTGAAATGACCAATAATAATCCATGTTAAAGGACACAAGTCGCAACATACATATGTTGAAAGTGACATCCCATCTAGTTATTAGTCCAAGATTGCTATCCTTAAGTTTATCATAGAAAAGTAAATAAATATACAACAGAAATAACAAATATGCATAATATATTCACATACCAAAAATGCCAGGTCTTTATTAAGATTTTCAAACCCGTAATCACCATAAGTTTCATTTAAAAACAAAACTCCCAAATTAAATATCCAAGTTATTATGGGATTTGCGATTGAACCTTCAAATACCTTCGGTATAAGATAATTTGTGCTTAATATCATCAGAATTTTGATGATATTATTACCAAATAAAACATAAAGAAAAACTATCGAGAATCCCAAGAAAAAGTATGTCCTTATGAGAGGTTGACTCTGAAATTTTGCAGGGGATTTTGGTACCAAAAAAAATTGATATAAATGACTTAAAACAAGATAAATAGCTAAGGCAAGAATTAATGCACCATAATGGTCACGAAATGATGCGAATTGTATGTCACTATTATCCTATAATCATAATTTTTAGAATTAATTTTAAGATAAACTTGATCAGAGAAAATAAACAGTCCAAATATTAATGAAGATATTTATAAATTTACCACTTTACGATTAAATAACCATCCATCTTGTAACCTCCGAGAATATTTCGCATAGTTTGGATGCGTTTCTAGAAATAAATTATTATTCATTTATAATTCATTTTTGTTTACATATTTTTATCAAATTCACTATTTATTGACTTCATTTCTAAATAAAAGTCTAAAAAAACATTAAAAGTCATCAAAAATTCCGTAAAATACCTTTACTCAAATCATGCCCAACCTTAAACATAAGAATAATGGAAATTGTAACAATAAAATAATAAAAACCAAATTCCCACGTATTCCATAATGGAGAATTAATCTTTGTTGGACGTTTCGTCCCTGAAGAAGTTGAAGATGATGTTTCTAACACTGAATATTTCGTAGTTGAATTCTCATTATCTTTACCCGTTTCTCTCAAATTATTCAGAGCGAACATGATTATGCTTAAAATAATTAAAAATAATTTAAATGATGATCAGTTTATTGTTTATTAGGAAATTTGCAACTCCGCATGTGTGTCACGTATAAAAGGGGCAATTAAAATCACCCACTCGCCAAATAATAAAAATAAAAAAATAAAATAAAAATAAAATACCTATTTTTTCTTACTATGTCGGAACTGGGGCTCGACCAAAAAAATGAAATTGCACTTAGAAATAGCATCCTTGAGACAAATGCAAAAAATCGGTAAGTTAAAGAAAATTACGATAGCATGTTCCTAGTCGTACGTATTTCTCTGACCTGTATTTAATATCAGATTAAAGAATATACTGTTTAAGAGACTCTGTGATAGCGGTTGGAAAAGCAGGGTCAAAAAACGATGTGTAGGTAAGGTTCAATTTAATCGTTTAATTTTTTTTCCTATTATTTCCTATGACATTTTATTACTATTTCGATTTTAATAGAGATTATCAGGACTGAGGGAGCAAATGATATCAAACTTGATCAACTAGAGGACGAGGTACTGGCATATGGTCGAGGTATTATTTATTACTCGAATTTTTTTTATTTATTTGAATATAATTGCCATCCCCTAAATGATTTCTCAAATTGCAATGATTATTCGGACCCTTGTGATGTTTACGAAAATTAGAAATTATCCCGGAGGATGTCAAAATAGAACTTTTGCAACAAATTTCTGATTTATTAGACGAAACAAAAATAGAGTAATTCTATTAAATGCATTCTTAAATCAGCAAATAAAATTTTTTACGTTTTATTAAATATAATAATTTAATTTATATAAATAAAAACAAGCATATATAAAAACATTAAAAAACAATCTATATATGTAATATCTACTTTAAACTAACTTTAATCAAAACCAATTCTAACGCAAACCAACTTTAAATATCTTGGAATGTTATTGTAAAGTAGATATTTTTAAAATGGCATTATAGTACAATAAATATTTTCAAAACATATATAATTGTGTAATAAATATTTTTCAAATAATTAAAATTGGGATTTCTAAGTTAGGATAAAGGTAAATTAAAATTAAAGTTAAAATAAGGTTTCATGAAAATACAAATTATTTTTAATTAAAGCACTAAATACATAATAATTACTTGGCTAGTTTTTTTTATAATTCGGCATCGCTAATTTCTCAGCTGTCCTGCCTTTGTTTAGTTATTTGACAAATTACAAGAATTTCTCTTCTAACTACACTTATCTACTGAAACAAAAGCGCACCCAGACAGACACCTAGATGTGACCTTGCCTAGTAGCTCTTGGCCTCCCTCTGGGTCCTTAGCTTACTAAGGACTTGAATCCTTTGGTCACTACATACCCATCAGCTATTATCTAACTACCTAAACCTAGTTCAATAAAAAGATCTATGCTACAAGTTTAAAAAAACAAATTAGTGCTCCTACAGACCAGACTCGAACCAGACTTTAGTCAAGTCTGAGTCTTGTCTGATTTTCAGACCGGACTCGAACTTTTATATTTAGACTTTTTAGCCAAGTCTGAGTTTGGTCCGGGTCTGGTCTGAAGTCTGCATATTAATCTGAGTTCGAATATATTTATATGTATTTTTCTATGTGCTAAACAAATTTACTTAGTGCATGAAGTTAGAA